GGGCCCAGGCTGGACTGTCTCCTGGGGAGGGGCTGCGGATTCCCAGGACTCATAGGCTGGGGGAAGGATGGCCCTGAGGGTGGGCTGAGCAGAAAGGGCCGTGAGCAGCCAGCAGGGTCCTGCAGGGAGACCTTCACTACTTTTTTTTTTTGGTTTTGTTTTTTTTGTTTTTTTTTTTTGAGACAAGGTCTCACTATGCAGTTGAGACTGACCTGGAACTCACTGTGTAGCCCAGGCTGGTCTCAAACTCATAGCATCCTCCTGCCTCAGCCTCCCGAGTGCTGGGATTACAGGCATGTGCCACCACACCTGGTTTCCCTCCCTACTTTTTGTTTGTGTTTATTTTTTGAGACAGGGTCTTGCTGCTTTACAGTTCAGCCTGGACTTGAACTCACATGTAGCCCAGACCAGCCTCAAACTTGCCTCAGCCTCTCAAGATCACTTTGCCTCCCTACTCCAAGATCTGCAGCCCACAGCCTGGGTCTTCTCCCCTCTAGCCCCCAAGGCAGTGCCCACAAGAGGTGTGGGCTCAATTTCCTGAGGAGGGAAAGGGGTGCACACAGGGCAGCTTTCTAGCGGGGTGCCCTGCCCTCCTCTCCCCTGTACCTGGGCTAATCTTGCCAGAGGCTGGGCGGCTTTTCCCAAAGTATCTTCTTACTCTTGCACAAACTCCCACAGCCCCCTCGGAGCACCCCACCCAGGGATAATCCAGAGCACAGCAGCCCTTGCAGTGTACGGAAGCGGTCAGTGTCTGGGAAGGCGGCCAGCTGGGGCCCTGTGCAAGTCCACGCCTCAGAATTGTGTCATAATCCCATTATATAACGGGGTGAGGGGAGCCAGGCCTCTCCCAGAGAACTCCTGGGGGCAGCTGCCCACTCTGGGACCAGGGAGCCCCGGAGGTGGGACCCCAGCTGGGCACGGGAGTCGAACCTAGGCTGCTGCCTAGGGGGCTTTTCACACCTAGAAGATAAAGGTGGGGGCAGGACACCCAAGAAACGTGTGGATCCTAGCCAGTGCCAGACATGGCCCTGCGCCCAGGACACCTCTACACTCAGCCCTCCCTGGACTCCTGGGGCAGCTTGAGCCCCAGGTCCCCCTGAAGGAAGCACTGAGGCTCAGAGGGCAGGACCAGGACCACAAGGGCCACCCATGCATCAACTCTGGGGACAGTGGCCTTTTGGGGACCAGGCCACGTGGGACTGTTCAGAGAGCTGGCTGGACCAGCCAGGTGCCTGTCAGAAGACCTGGGCTACATGTGCAGGAGGCCCAGGACCCGCACGGCCTTGGGGTGGCTCTGGGCGCCCCCGCTGCACAGAGCCCAATCCCACCTGGGACAGTTACTCTCAGAGGCCTCAGCCAGGAGGCCAGTAGCCACCTAGGCACAGGGGACTGGGGGACAGTCACCTCAGGGACACTCTGTGGCCCATGTGCCCTCAGGTGACCTCCAGCAGGACACTGGGCCTGGGACAAGGTCGTGACCACGCCTGGCTACTAGCTGTCGCTGGGCATGAAGAGTGACCCCACTGACTTCATCCTTGTGTGTCAGTGCTTGCGGCAGCAGCTACTCACGGGGGACTCTGCCTGTGTGTGCTGTGTGAGGGTGTGCACATGCCCTGTGTCTGGTGTGCCTTGCTCCTGTGTGTCCATATGGCCCTCGTACTTGCTCACCCGTGCCTGTGTGTGAGTGCACACACGCAAGGCTCAGAGCCAGGGGGACCTGAGCAGCTGTCTGCTCTTGCTAGGGTTTCTGGAACTCTCTCCCCAGCAGCCGCCACCTCCCTGCTCTGAAATTGCCTGGGTCCCTTGAGCCCAAACAGTCTTACAGGATCCACGCTGCCTCCCAGGGCCTGAGCTCAGGCAGCAGCTCCGTGGTCCAGGCAGCTGCCCCAGGGCTCCCTCTTGCCCTTGAGTCCACTTGTCCCTAGCTCACATGGTGCTGGCCCGCACCGCCCCCATCCAGCTTTCTGTGACCTCGGGGGAACCTGGGGTCCAGTTTCAGGTAGGCTGGCCACATTCACCCTCTTCACCTAAGAGTGGGAAATGCTAATAAAAGCTCCCTCCTGGCGCGGGGAGGGTTCAAGAGGAAGAAATGAGAGAGAAAGCTCAGAGGCTTCTAGAAGGATTCTGTCCAGGTGCCGCTCCAGCCCTGCCTGTGTCCTGGAGGGGCCCCTCACGCGTGCCCTACAGCTCCCTGGCTCCCGGGGGCCCCTGAGGAGGCCAGAGCCCGATTGCTACCCCTGCCCTGGCCGCACCTTCACTCTGAGGCCCCGGCGGCCTTCACCGTGCTGGATGCCCGTGTGTACACACGCATGGCACAGGGGTGGGTGTGTCTCTGCCTGTGCAAGTGCCCAGTTTCCCTCCCCAAGGTGCCCCCCGCCTTCCTCTGAAGCTCTGGACAAGGACACGCACGGTGCCTGGTCTGCTGTCCAGCGGCCTGAGGTGGCCAGGCCAACCCAGCTCTGCCCTGACCAGCTTTGTGACCGTGGACAGGAAGCTGACTCCAACTCCAGCCTGTGCCCTCGACTGGGCACATATCCGTGACCCAGTGCCAGCCTTCTGGACTGGGGCACAGCTTTGTGAGAACCACAGTGGCATGAAGGCCCCAAGGATGGAGTGCACAGAGCCCAAGAGATAGGACCTAGGCCCTGTAAATGGGCTTTAACTGGAAGAAGGGACTGGGCAGATAAAATTGAAGGAGTCCTTCCTCCCTTGCCAGAGTGACAGCTCCTTCCTGGAGTCACAGTGGGGCCCAGGAGGTAGGGGTACTGGGTTTTCAGCACTTGGTCACCTGGCCAGTTCTAGGGGCAAGACACATGCAGTTTGGGGGAAGACACCTGCATTCCTGAAAGATTCCCGTTGGCCGCCTGACCCACGGGCCAGGACCACAGTGGTGGGTGGGAAAAGCCACCTGGAAGCCCCTAGAACCGCGCCACCCCCTCAAAGCATAAAGCAGAGCCACACATTCCTAGAATGGTTTCAAAGATTCAGGTCACCACGCAGAAGAGAACAGGCAGGATGGTGGCTCCTGCCACATTCCGGCTAGAACCCCTCCTCCGCTGTGCTGGAGACAGTGGGCAGACCCCGGGAAGTGACATGAAACAGTCAGGTGGTGACCGCTGAGGCTGGAATATCTTAGGAGAAACTGCTACGTGAGCAGAGCCCCAGCCCCAGCTGTCTCGGCTTCCAGGTCCACGTGACAAGGCCAGGAGCCTCTGTCCCCTCACTGCGCACACCACGCGGGACCCGGGCATGGGTGTGGGTGTGGGTGGGCGCCGGCTGCAGGTGTGACGGTGTGGTTAAGACAAGACCTGTGTCCCAGAGGGCAGGAAATACAGCCTGCACACACTTTGGGACATTCCTTCCACAGAGAAGGCAGGGTGCCTCGAAGGGCCCTGGGCTGTGGGGAAGCACGCACTGCCTCTGGGCATGCTCGTGGGCCTGATCCTGCAGCTTCTGAGGCCAAGAGTGAGCGAAGGCCAGGCACGCAGCCAGCACATCCAACAGCACGTGACCAGGGATGCTGCTAGACCACTCGGCAGTGCCCTGCAGGTAACTCCACAGACCCACAACCACTTTTTCTTTCTTTAGTTTCTGTGTGTGTGTGTGGAACTGGGGATTGAATGTAGGGCTTCACAATGAGCTACATTCTGGCTCTTTCTTATTTTTTTGTTTTGAGACAAGAGGATCCCACTATGTGAGTTACCTAGACTGGGCTCAAACTTGTGATCCTCCTGCCTCAGCCTCCATTGGCATTTTGGAGTAAGCTATAACATTCTCCATAGATTACTCTTTTCAACTGAAGGAGTAGTTTATGTTGGTTCTGGGACCCAGAGAACACTTGACCACAGGCCACCAAGTCACCACGTGGACCTTGGGTGTGGTCTGATCCATTACAGCACACAATTGGGAATCTGGAAAGTTCCTGGCCCAGGCAGCGCCTGGAGATACGAATGTATTGCACCAAGGAGCTGCCCAGATGTCCCGAATCCCTGACCCGCCGTGACCCCCGGGACAGTGCTGTTCCTCCATGAACACTGTCACACACAGTGGGAGGTGCTTAGGACATACAACAGATAAACTTCCAGAGGTGGCACTCGGGGGAGGGCATATTGAGTCCTCTGCTTGTCTTGCCAAACTGCCCCAAAGCCAGCAGCTCTGAGGTGGGGAGTTTCTGCAGGGGGTCAGGTGGGACTCCTGGGCAGGACAACCCCTTCAGTTTTTAAGTTCCACTGCAGAGGGAAGGATGGTGTCTAAGCAGGGTCCCCCAGGGAGGAGTCCCATGCTAACAGAGGGCAAGTGAGAGACACCTGGGAGGGGACAGGTGAGGGCTCTGGAGGCTCGGTAACCCCCGGAGTGGGAAGGGGTCACCAGCTGAAGCGGCAGGTGCCCTTGGCCAGCACCTCGGGCCAAGGCCATCTGCCCCAGCTAGCTCAGGAATGGTCTCACTGCCACTTGGTCAAAGGGTAGCCGTCCCCACCCAGGGCAGCAGACCCAGTCAGGGACGCTGGAGCAGAGCTGGAGCTGCCATGGGGTGTGGACGGCCACCCCACACCCCACACCCACGGCACAGCTGCTCTGGAGTACCAGGCTGTCAGAGAGGCAGGGCTCCCGCTTCCCGTGAGCATTTCAGGGAAACGCTGCCATCCGGAATAGACAACTGGCCCCCCAAAGCCACAAAAGTTCTACTTTCCTAGGGTTAGGATGCGGTTTAGTGGAAAAACATTTTCCAAGCATGACAAAGGCCTTGAGTGGGGTCCCCAGTAAGGTAAAATATCAAATCAAAACAAAACGAAATCCCACCCCCTCGCGCTGCTCCGCTCTGCACCCTGAGCCCATGTCCAAGACCTCTCCTGGTCTTCTTTCCACTCATTTTGCAAACCCCAGTATAGAGATTTGGCTGGAGGGTCGAGTGAGTGAGGGCCACTCCACAAGAGTAATGATACCCTCCGAATCCTGCCTGCCCCTGGCCACACCCCTGTCCCGCCTGCCAGTACAGACTATATAAAACCCAGACCAACCCTCCCTGCCAAGGATCAACACCATGAAGCTGAATTTCAGCGGTCTGCGAGCCCTGGTAACAGGGGCGGGGAAAGGTGAGTGCAGCAGGAGCTGCGGGTTGCCAGAAGCTGGGGAGAGCAAGGGTGCTCAGCCCAGACGTGACGAGGACCCAAGGGGACTCTGTCACAAATTTCCCCCCAAGCACCCAAAACTACACCACCCAGGCAGAGCTGCTCCCCAAACCTGGCTGGAGTCCCGCTGAACCAAGATGCCAACAAAACCCACTGAGGAGAGGGAGCTGGCTCTGCTCCAGGGCAGCCCTAAACCTGAGCTGGGCAACTGGGGATCCTCCCTTGGGCCCACTGGGAGGCAGCTGCCTGCAGGGCTCCCTCACCTGATTCCGATCAGCTGGGCCTCTGATCTGGGCCATACAGGATCCGGGGCCACCAGCAACTTCAGGGGCTGACCTCCTCACCCCCACACGCTCCCCTGACACCAGCAGTGGCCAGGCTCCCAGTACCACATAGCCTGCGTCCGCCTTGCAGGGATTGGCCGGGACACTGTGAAAGCCCTACATGCGTCAGGAGCCAGGGTGGTGGCTGTGACCCGCACCAATGCTGACCTGGTCAGCCTCTCCAAAGAGGTGAGTCAGGGGACCCCAGCGCCGTAGTCTGCACCCCACCCATCACTCATGCCTCAAGGGCCACCCTACAACATCTCCACAGTGTCCTGGGATAGAACCCGTGTGTGTGGATCTGGGCAACTGGGAGGCCACGGAGCAGGCACTGGGCACTGTGGGACCTGTGGACCTGCTGGTCAACAATGCAGCCGTGGTTGTGATGCAGCCCTTCCTGGAGGTCACCAAGGAGGCCTTCGACAGGTGGGAAGCCATGGGGACCACGACAGGGTTGGGGAGGGCCGCTGAAGCCAGGATTGGGGAGTCAGGTGCTCACGGTCCATCTCACTGCCAGGTCCTTCAATGTGAATCTGCGTTCGGTGCTTCAAGTGTCCCAGGTGAGCCAGTAGGAAGTGTGGCCTGGTGCCTGCTGGCTGCGCGGGTGGAGGGGTGAGCTGTCCCCAACTCTTGGCTTCCAGATCGTAGCCCGGGGCATGATTGCCCGAGGAGCACCAGGATCCATTGTCAATATCTCCAGCATGGTGGCCTACGTAACTTTTCCCAACCTGATCACCTACAGTGAGTGCACCCCACCCAGCGAGAGGCCTGGGCTGCAGGGCCCACCCTCCTGGGAGAGAGTCCATCCCGAGTGGTCTTTGGCTTGTCCTTCCAACAGGCTCCACGAAGAGCGCAATGACCATGCTGACCAAAACAATGGCCGGGGAGCTGGGGCCTCACAAGGTGAGTGTGGGGGCGGAAGCTGGGCGCTGACTGAAGGGGCCAAAGGCAGGTACCGGGGCCAGGGAAGGACTTTGAGGATGCCGTGGGCCCAGCCTGCCTCCACGGAGGCATCTGAGCAGTAGGGCCAGGTTTCAGCTGAACACAGGAAGCTCAGTCCTGGGAGCGCGCAGGGGCCACCCAGGGGTCTAACCCACGGCCTGAGACTACAAACCCCGCCCCTGGCCCCAGATACGCGTGAACTCTGTGAATCCTACTGTGGTGCTGACCGATATGGGCAAGAAAGGCACGTCCGATCCCGAGTTCCGCCGAAAGCTGATGGAGCGTCATCCACTGAGGAAGTTTGCAGGTGAGGGGGACAACGGGGTTTTGCGCCTGGGAGAAGGGGAGCCACCGCCCTGACTTGCTCGCCACTCTGCAGAGGTGGAGGACGTGGTCAACACCATCCTCTTCCTGCTCAGCGAGCACAGCGCCTCTACTACCGGCTCGGGAATCCTGGTGGACTGCGGCTACCTGGCTTCCTAGGACGGCCCAGGCTCCGTGCCACCAAGACGATCTCCCCAAACACGCGCCAGCGCCTGACCTGCCCCGCCACGG